ATTTTAATAGACTTTTCCCGTATTTGCAAAAGCTTTCAGAAACTCAAATCTACAACACAAAAGAAAATAAGCAAACAAATTCAGAGGGACTATGGAAAGCTCATAAACATATGACTTGACAGTCAGCCTCCTGTGTTGTTTGGACCTTTCTGGACAGTAATTTGGTACTTTACAGTAACAGCTTTAATGTAGTCACACTTACTGTAAGTGCCCTAAGGACTCTAAGAAACAAGATATAAAGATGAAGATATTTATCACAGCTTATATATTTATATTTAGAGGAAAACAGGAAAGAGCCAATGGCCAACAGTATGGGAATAATAATAAGTGATAAATTATAGTAAAGCTTTAAAATGATGTCACCAAGAACTTGGTACATGGGAAATGTTGCTAAGATGTGAGGGTAAAATAAGCAGGACATAAATTTTTATAGACTCAAGTCCAAAAAAGTGTGATCATTTGTAAAAGTTAATGCTAAATTGAACATGAACATCCCAAGTCTCTGAACATCTAGTTTCATCTAAGGCTCTTACTGTAAACTTGGATCATAGCCTCTTAGGGAGAAGAGATGTAATTCTCCAGGCCCAGCGTGCCCAGTACCTTTCACAGACGCTCTGGTCTCAATGTGGCTCAGGTCTGCGGCCACTCCGGGTGTATGAGCAATATCATAGAGGGTCAGGCGGCTCACCAAAGGGCTATTCTTCAGGAGAAGCGAAAGGGGCTGCCCAATTCCTCCGGAAGCCCCGAGCACAGCTACTTTAGCATTGTTCTAAAAAGAGCACAGAGAAAGAACTAAGATAGAATCAGCATTAAATGGATTCACATTAAAAGGATACCTCCTGCAAAGTACTGCACTGGTCTCTTACTGCACAGATGCCAAAGGAAGATACAACTGTAATTCTACCATCCAAAGATCCAGTTTCCTTGTGAAGGTTAGAGGCGTGCCTCAGGAACATGGGGAAGAACTCAGGTTTGTAGATATTTGTGACAGAGTATACTTATAGCAGCCTCTGAAAGATGAATAAGTTTTACTCATTCAGGCAGCTGGACTGGTAACAGCAGCCTTACTTTCAATCTGCAATTTTAAAAACTATAAACAAACATTTATTGAGCACCTACCCACAGGCTAGCCATTACATATGGAGCTGCAGGAATGAAGACTCCTGCTGGCTCTGGAGGGGACAAGCAAGCAGATGTGTGAGGAGCTGAGGGAAAAGAGCTATGTATACTGTGTGCAGAAGAGACAGGGTGGCAATCAACTCCCTAGGGAAGAGGGATCAGGTAAGATTCCAGCATAATCTTGGCTGGAGCCAAAGGCAGGATAAGGAGGGATGTATATGTTTAAAAAGCTCCTTCTCTCCCAGGTAAGTTATATCTGCATGCAGCCCCAGACTCCTTACCCCAAATCAACTCCCAAACTCTGGTGTTTATCAGAATCACCTGCTGAGGTCACAAAACAAACAAAAACAACAGGCTCCTTCAAATAGGCTCTATCAAGTTCCCAAAGTGATTGTGACACCAAAGTTTGAGAATCACTACTGCTCCACATCAAGCAGCAGTTGGCTTGGGCATGTCAGCTGGAAACTTTAAAAAGGATAGCTTAGTTGGGGGGGTGGGGGGTGGGAAGGTTGGTCCAAAGAAACTGCCTCATTAACATCTGAAACGACAAACCTAGAAGCATCTGTATCACTTTATTGGTCAGCTTACTGGAACTAAAGTCATAAAACCTGACTTTAAACAGCCACTCAGAGCTAAGTAGATCTAACTGGTCATCATCTAATAGCATTCATTTTTTAAAAAACAGCTTCACTGAGATGTTATTTTCCATACCATACAATTCACTCATTTAAAATGTACAATCCAATGGTTTTTAGCATATTCAGAGTTGTACAATCATTATCCTATAAAGCAACTTATTTCCCATTTCCCTGGCAACCATTAACCTTCTTTCGTCTCTATGGACCTGTCTTTGCCTATTCTGGATATTTCACATATGAATGGTCTCGCACAACACATGGCTTTTGTGTTGGCTTCTTTTACCGATCATAATGTTTTAAGGTTAATCCATGTTGTTATCAGTACCCCATTTCTTTTAGCCATTCATCAGTTGGTGGACAACTAGGTTATTTCTATCTTTTGGCTGTCATGAATAGTGCTGCTATGAAGATGCATGTATAAGTTTTTGTGCAGACATTTTAATTATCGATCGGCTGCCTCCTGCACACCCCTACTGGGGACTGAGCTGGCAACCCAGGCATGGTGACCTCTTGGTTCATGGGTCAATATTCAACCATTGAGCCACACTGGCAGGGCTGTTTTTAATCTCTTGGTTATATACCAAGGAGTGGAACTGATGGGTCATGTGACTACTTCATGTTTAACCTTTTGAGAAACTGCTAGACTGTTTTCCAAAGTGGCTGATATTCATCCATTAAAGCTCACTACAATTCAACAGGCATCTACATTTATCTGCTACGTGCCAGACTGACTTCCCTGCAAAGACTCGCAAACTTAATAAACACCATCTAGTGTAACAAGTGACACTGAGGCAGATTCTCAGAAGAGCAGCAGCACAAATCGTGGGTGGAATAAACTGTTAGAGGGGGTTTTGAAGGATGGTAGTTTACCAGGTAGATAATGGTGGGAGGAGACAAGTAGTCCCAGCAGTTCTTTATGACTCTAGCACTGTTGGATACATATGGAAAAAGGAAGACAGGAGGGCCAAGCACAGAATTATCTGGTCCTGGTAGGCAATGGGGAACCACTGAAGGGTCTCAAAAGCTGGGAAGAACATGACCAGATCTGGGTTTTAGAAAGATATGAGACAGAGTGGAAGATGGACTGGAAATATACAATACAAGCAAGGAGACTACTGTAATAGTTTAAACATGATTGAAGTGTGGGATAAAGGGAGCAGCAAGGATGGGATTTGAGGAATTTATGAGGGATTTGAGGAATAGTAGCTATAGACTAAGTCACCCCCTTCCCATTTTCACTCAAATGGTGAGAAGAGGAAGGAACCTGGGGCGACAACTTTCTGGCTCAAGCAGACAGCATTGCCTTTAACCAATAGAGGGAACTGAGGAGAGTTTAGGGGTTTTGAAGAAAGAATAATGAATGGTTTGGCACAGTGAATTTGGGCCACTTGAAACATCCATGCACAGTAGGTCCCTGGACCAAAGACTTGGTCTGGAGATCACAGTGTCTGCACTAGAATTAATGGAAGCCAGGGACATGGACAAGGCACAAAAGGGAATAGAGTGAGAAGAGCACTAGGGACAGAACACTAGCATTTAAGGCAGTGGTTCTCAACCTGTGGGTAGCGACCCCTTTGGGGGTCAAACGACCCTTTCACAGGGGTCGCCTAAGACCATCGGAAAACACATATATAATTACATATTGTTTTTGTGACTCATCACTATGCTTTAATTATGTTCAATCTGTAACAATGAAAATACATCCTGCATATCAGATATTTACATTACGATTTATCACAGTAGCAAAATTACAGTTATGAAGTAGCAAAGAAAATAATTTTATGGTTGGGGGTCACCACAACATGAGGAACTGCATTAGGAAGGTTGAGAACCAATGCTCTAGACCAATGTAACATTTGACTCAAACTCATCTTTCTGACACACTGCCTTTCCAGCATCTCTACTTGTATGGATAACAGGCATTTTAAACTCAACATATCCTCCACCTGCTCCAAGCTGCTCTCTTCCAGCAGTTTTTTCCCATCTCAGCAAACCCCAAAGCCTCAGAGTCCTCCATGCTCCTCTTCCTCTCAGCACCCCTCACCAAATCATGTCAATAAATCCCACTGTCTTACCTTTGGATCAGTTCCCTTCTCCCACCCCTCAGCATCAATCTTCATCACCTCTACAGTCTTAAATTGATTCACTTTTGGCTTATCTCAAGTGCTACTTCTCATTCATCTTGATACCCCCTGCAACACCCAGCCCAATTCTTGACAATCACGGATACTCAAAGATGCTTATTTTTCACGTGAATTAAATGCACAGAAAAGTGATCTGAAGGACAGAAACTAAATAAGAAATCTGGAATCTCCTTTAATAATCACCTCCCTTTTGGGTGTGGGAAGGTAGGCATCTCCTGGGTTTTGATTTTGGTTGTCTTTAGAATCACCTGGGACACTTGGTAATAATAGAGGCCCAGATCCTACCCTCTTTGAATAAATCTTGGCCTCTGTTCTTTATTAGCTTTTTGGTGGTGATTCTGCCACACGCCAGAGTTTGAGAACCACTGTCCTACAAAATATAGCTAAAAATAGCCTAGGCTTTAGTAGTCCCAGGCCAAGTAACGCACTGTTACAACACGGGGGCAGGCCCAGGCCACTACCGCATCAGGATCCTTCATAAAAGTCTGCAAGAGGAAGTAGCGTTCAGCTTCTTGAAGGCTTGATTATCCCAAAACCACTGGTGATCAGGAGAGCTGCATTTGATTACTCTTAAATGACTGTGTTAACTTTGGACCAGTTCTCTACCCTCGGTACCACGCCTATCTGTACTATGGAGTTAATAATTACATATTATTTGTACGGATGCTGGAAGAAGAACAAGGTTACGCACCCAACGTTGCATAAAAACATAAATTACTTCCGACCCTAGATCCCTGGTTTCTCAACCTTGAAGGGTTGCAGTCTAAGAGCAATGACCTTACAGAGTGACAAGATGAAGAAACTGGGTTGCAGAGAGTTAAGTAACTT